TGAGTAGTTATCAAATTTTATGCTGCAAAGACCAAAAGGGACTGAAGTTTCAATCACAACATCAAAATAAAATGAATCCTATGCAGTGCATGTACATAAATATCATTACTTGTTTACTTTTAGAAAGTAAACGAAAAATAAAAGTTAAATGTGAAAAATGAAATCTTAAGAAGAATAGCATAAAAATAAATAAATTAGAAATCAACTAAGCAAATCTTCAAACATGATGAGAAAACCGTCACCGAAATTACTATAGATTCATGAAAGTTTTACAAAATTGTTGCGAAATCTCCAAAAAGTAATTTCGTTTTGAGAAAGGGAGTTCGTGATATAGAAGGGAGATTTAGGCTTAGTTTGAGATAATTTTATTACTGTTTTTTTACTGTAAATATTTATTGAATTAAAAATTTTTGTATTAAAAAATTGCTTTAGCTCAAATGAAATCTTTAGGCTTAGTTTGGGATGGCTTTCTTTATTGTTACTTAAACCAATTTTTAAGTAAAAAAATTTAAAAATTTTATATTAAAAACTATTTTAAAAAACATTCAGAAAGCCGTCCCAAATAAAACTTTAATGTATGTATGTTATAATTTTTTGATTGTTTTGCTTTTCAAATAACAATTAAAATTTTATTTGACTACTTTATTTTTCTCATTATTTTTAATAATTTCTATGATGAAAATTTATTTCTACAATCATAATATAAAATTTAACAATTAAGAACATATCCTTTGAGAGAGAATAGGCGGAACGGTTCACCCAACGACCACTCATATAAACTAAAAATAAAAAATAAAACTGAAAATTAAAAATCATTTCATGAATGATGATTTTTCTATTAGAACACCAAAACAACAACCTGTAAAGAAACTAGTATAGTCTGTTGTATTGCCTTTGTATTGCATTATCTGTAACTACCGAAATACTCTATATATACATGTGTTCTGCTTAGAATAGGGAAATAATGAAATCATTTACTTCTCAATATTTCTCTGTCTTCATCCCGCTCTCAGCTTCACGTTCTTGCCATGCTTAGATTTCAACATGGTATCAGAAGTCTAGGAGACGATCCAGGAAGATCAATGGAATCCTCCACGCTGTCTCCGACCAACTCCCAGACGGAATCCTCCATTCCCGTCACTCCAACTCTCTCATCTTCTCTCAAATTCGTTCTTGCCAATCTCAAGAACATCGTTCAAACACCTCTTTCACCAGATAACTACTCTCTTTGGCGTTCCCAAATTCTTAAAATTTGTCGAGCAAATGGATTTGACTCATTTCTTGATGCTCAGTCGGTCATTCCCGACCAGGTAATCATTCAAACATCTGGTTCGTCCATACCTAATCCCGCTTACAAGCAATGGCTCTTAACCGACCAAAATCTTGCTGCCGCCATTTGCTCCACTATTTCGGCATCCATTCTTCCTTATGTTCTTGATCTTGATTCCACCGCTGCCATCTGGAATGCCCTGCAAATCCGCTTCCAATCAACAAACCGATCGAAGGTTATTCAACTCAAAAATGAGTTACACCATATTTCGCTCAAAAACTTGACAATGCTGCAGTATCTCAATGAAATCAAGAAACTCGTAGATCAGATCGCTGCCGCAGGATCTCAGCTTGATTCAGAGGATATTATTCTTCACATCTTGAATGGCTTCAACAATACACCCCTTTCAAGACTGCGATTCAGACAATGACACAACCGTTAATTCTCGATCAGCTATATTCTCTCCTCATCAGTGAGGAAATCCACATAGCTTCGGACACGGCACGATTTGATTCGACAAATCAATCTAACACCGCCCAGGATACTCCATGGCACGATCGCTTGGGACACCCCCATCATCGGACTCTCAGAACCATTGCTAGTAGTAATTCGACATTACAAATTTACTCGAAAATAAATGAATGTCAGGCATGTATAATGAGCAAAAATCATAAATTGAGTTTTGATGCATCTGTAAGCAAAACTAGCTCACCGTTATCTCTTATTCACTCCGACGTGTGGGGTCCAGCTCCCATGTCGTCTCACACAGGTTTTCTTTATCTTTCAATGGCAGAAGAATTCAGGGCACTCCAAAAGCAAGGCACCTGGGATCTAGTACCTCCACCTCCGAACGCATCAATACTAGGATGTAAATGGACATATCGCACAAAACTACATTCAAATGGGTCCATTGCGAAATACAAAGCTCGTCTTGTTGCTCAGGGCAATAATCAGGAATACGGGCTTGATTATACCGAAACTTTTAGTCCTGTTGCAAAACTCCCCACTATCCGAATAATGCTCGCCGTTGCTCTTCACAATGACTGGCCTGTTCACCAGCTAGACGTGGCCAACGCATTTCTACACGGCTCCCTATCGGAGACAGTATACATGAAGCAACCAAAAGGCTTCGAAGACACAAATAATCTTAATCATGTATGTCTTCTACGTAAAGCAATTTATGGGCTCAAACAAGCGCCACGGCAATGGTATAACACGTTCACTTCTAATTTCTCTTGGTTTTACCCATAGTAAATCCGACTCATCCTTACTTGTGTTTAATAAGAATAAAATTCAACTATTTTTACTCATCTACGTCGATGACATCTTACTAACGGGTAATGATCAAAATGAAATTACTAAGATTATCTCTCAGCTGCACCGCAATTTTACAATGAAAGAGCTCGGTCACGTCAATTCATTTCTGGGAATTAAAATTCAAACAGAGCACAACAAGTATTTCCTATCACAGAAACTCTATGCGGAATCCATCCTGCAAATGGCGAATCTATCTAAGTGCAATTCTCTGTCCAATCCCACTTGCACTAAGCAGCCTAAGGACATTCCAACAGATCCAATTCTTACTGATCCTACCACATACCGCAAAATCACGGGATCCTTGCAGTACCTAACTTTGACTCGTCCAGATATTACCTACAGTGTCAATCTCCTCTCGCAACACATGCATCAACCACTGCCGCAACATGCGTTTCTTCTCAAAAGACTTCTCCGTTATATCAAAGGTACGCTTGACTAT